GCAGGGGAGGAGGGGCCTCAGGTAAGGAATGCAAGGGACAAAGCCCGGTAGTGGAATTTTCCACTTTAGTGGAATTTTCCAATTTTCCACTTCACTAGGGGTTTAGTAAATATTAATAGCTGTTGAATAATTAAATGAATGGATAAATAAATGCACAATTTTTAAAGGGACCCTGCTAAGGGGTTGGAGAACAAGAAGGCCTTGGGAACATTGAGAAGGATGAACAGTGAATGTTTAAGGGGGAATTAAAAGGATGGATAAAGCAATAGCAGTGACATGGACAAGGGGGTTGTCAGAAGGAAAGGGAACAAATGAGCAGCCAGGACGAGCTTGAAGGAGGGTCAGCATCTTAGAGGAACTGTGACCCCTAAGCAGAGATTGAAAGGGAGAGGGAAGAAGGAGGCTCCCAGGAGGGACAGAAATGAGAAAGTAAAGTCTCAGAAGAAAGAAATTAATGTTTAAGGGAATTTAGAGCCAGTACATTTGGATTTAGTCCTGGCTCTGCCTCTAACCAGCTGTTTGAGCCTGGTCAAATGCTTTGCCCCACCAGAGTCCCAGTGACGACACCGTACAATGGCTGGACTTGGCCTCACAGCTGTTACAGGGTTAAATGAGAGAGTGGACTATGAGGGTGACAGTCCCGTAACATAGGTCATGCCTCTGAGATCAGGAATGATTGGATTCATATGGCTGGATCTTCTTCCTCTATTTCCACCTCAAGTCCACCCCTCCTAACCCTGCCCTCCCCTCGGGGCATGTTTGCCCAGAGTCCTTGAAGTGGTTGGGTAGGAAAACTAAAATACACTGTCAACTGCAGAGTCTTTTAAAAAATTAGTCATTACAGAAGCAATCGAGATGGAAAGAAATATTTTGGAAGGGCATAGTCAGCGGACATTGAGGAGTAATTGTGGTTTCCTTCATTCATCCTTCTTACTTCCTGGGCCTTCTTTTCCCAAGTCCAGTTTTCTCCCTAGAGGTGCTTTACATTCTCCGTTCAGCCTTTTCATGTCTCTCCCTCTCAACACAACCTCTCCTCCTTTTACAGGTCCTTCCTGAAATCGTCCCCACTCGTCCTGTCTCTGTCAGCAGGATCGTCACCCGCTCTTCCCCTCAGTGTCCGGCAACGACAGATTGAGGCTGATGGCGGATACACCGTATCTGCCTTGTTACAGTCCCTAACGCAGGAATGGTAGGTTTGGCTGATGATGCATATACTTTACCTGCCTCGTCACACTTCCCAAGGGCAGGGACCATGACTGTCCTGTCATCGGTCTCCCAAACACCTCTTCTTACCTACCTCTCCCCCCCTGGAAGCCCCTAAAGACTTGTGGACTTTTTAAAAGTCTGGGGATGTTACTGATACAGAGGAGAGAGAATAGAGGATAGACAAAGGGAGAGAAGGACAAAAAGGAAGAGAAGGAAAAGGAAGGAAGGGAAGGGCTAAGGCCTCTCCCACCCCTAACGTCCCCCAGTGCCATGCGTGGGTGTTGAGCTGTAACATTCCGCAACACCACAAGGAGACATCCTGGAAGGAGTTGGAAAGGGGTGGGAACAGTTACCTGGGCGGCCCTGTGTGAAGCAAGGAGAAGACGTGGATGCTAAGCCAGAGGCAGGATGCAGCCATGGTCAACTGCAGCAAGCCAAGCCAAGCCAGCACACACAAACTCATATCCACCCTTCCAGCTCTCCAGAGATACAATGAACCCAAGGGAGGATTAAAGGATCAAGTGTAGAGTGGTTAGCGATTCCGGAGAGAGGGAAAAGGTCTTGAGGAGTGAGATGTTTCTGGCACAGTCTCCTTCCAAATGCCTTTTCCCTTACTGGTGTCCCAGAACCATTAGATGTGAATTCATGGTAACCAGGGCATGAAGGCTGAGCGGAAGCTTTGTTAGCAGGAATCCTCATCGTCTAGTTATAGAGGGAAAACAACAACTAGTCATGAGCTTCTCCAGCCAGATGGAGCACTGTGTCCCACATGACAGGAGCATTTCCCAGCACGGTGCCTGGCATCTGCCGGTGAGGAATGACTATTGACTGAGAAGGACAAGAAGGTCTAAGCAGGGTCAGTCAAAGGACCCTCTCACTGTGCCCGATCCGTGAGGAGCAATTGAACAACTTGGGCATAGATCACTGAGACTATGTGCCAGGCACTGCTGCGGGTGCAGGGAAAGCAGCAGCGAACGTGAAGGTTAGGTTCCTCTTCCCATGCCACTTCCCTTCTCTTGGATAGGAACAGATCACAGACAGGTAAACACATCACTGCAGACAGTAATACATGCCGTGAAGACAGTAAATGTGGGTAAAGAGATAGTGAATGCCTTTGAGGAAAACTACTTGAGATACAAGTGGTAAAAGGAGTCCTCTCTGACTATGTTACCTTTGAGTTGAGACCTGGAAGAGAAGATGGAGAAAGCCATGTGAAGCTCTGGAGGGAGGGGGCCCACGCAGAAGGAACACTGAGTGCAAAGCTGTATGGCCACATAAGCTTGGCATGTTCAAGGAACGGAAACATCAAGCACTGCAGCTAGAGCACCGGGAGGAAAATGGAGGCACAGGGCCACCTGCACACCTCACCAGGCAGGGCCATGGGTTCCCCCTTTGGCTAAACACTGGAACCTCCTGGAGAGCTTTCAACACTACTGATGCCTGGGACCCATCTCCAGAGATTCTGTTTAATTGGTCTGAGGTGTCACCTGGGCATCAGGAGTTTAAAAGTTTTCCAGATGCTTCCAATGTGCAAACAAGGCTGCGAAGCACGGGCAAGACCTTGAAGGCCATGGCAGGGCACTTGGATTAGTGACAATACAAGGTTCCCGGAGACACTCAGAGACACTTCTCCAGATCCAGAAAGAGCTCATTGTCTGGGAGGCCTTGGAGGTGGGGACGGAGCCAGGAAAATGAAGTAACCCAGAGGAAAAGAGACAAAAGGGGACTGACAAGAAGGCCAAGACAGGCAGAGAATTCCAGAAAATGTGACAAATTGGAAGGCAAAAAACAGACCAGCGCAGACAGAATGAGAGAGCCAGAGACTGAGGGAGAAAGGGAATCATATGTACTAGTTTCCTATTGGTGCTGTAAGAAGGTACCACAAATTTAGCGGCTCGAAACAATACACATTTATTGTCTTATAGTTCAGGAGCCTGAAGTGGGTGTTACTGGGTTAAAATCAAGGTGTCAGCAGGGCTTGGTTCTTTCTGCTGCTTCAGTGGGGAATCCACTCCCTTGCCTTTGCAGCTTCTAGAGGCCACCGACTTCCTCAGCTCACCGCTCCCTTCCTCAACCTTCAAAGCCAGCAATGTCAGGCCACAGGCTTCTCACGCTGCTCTCTGTGGTTCTCTTCTGCTTTGGCCCTCCACTTTTAGGGACCCTTGTGATCACACTGGACCCATATAGACAATCTGGAATAATCTCCCTACTTGAAATTCAACTGATTAGCAACCTTAATTCCACCTGCAAGTTTAATTCCCCTTTGCCAAGTAAGGTGACATGTTCACAGGGTCCAGGAATTAGGGCATGGTCATCTTTGGGGGGGTCATTATTCTACCTACTGTAGCATAGACGTACATTTTTTACAAAACAGATTTCAGTCATATCTGTAGTCTTTTGCTTGGGTATTGGTGTGTTTTATGAGCACTGAACTGGGAGAGTCGTTCCAAGATGATTGTACTTGTGTTTGTTCTAGTAGGTTTGTTTATCAGGGTGTCATTTTTGAGTGTCTCCCTGAAAAGTATGGAGGAAGGGAAGACAGGTGCCTAATAAAGTCCTGCTGCTCCACTAAAGCCTCGCTGCTGTTGTATTGTTGTTCTTATTGACTATAAAACTAATGACACAGTGTCTCTTTGTATGTTTTCTTTGAGCATGTCCATCTGTTCTTAAATAATACTGGATGTCTCTCCCAGTGATATTTAATGTGTGTGAGACTATTGAGCTGTATCTGTGATGTTTGCATTATACGAGCGTATCTGTCTGTAAGTGTGTGCACACTGGGGCATTTGGACGTTGATGGTGCACACAAGTATTTAACAGTGTGGGTGATCACAGCTGTAGATGTTTACTCACTCACAAACCCCCATGGATACCCAGATAGCAAGGCCTGGCATGGGGCAGGAGCAAGGAAGAGAAGGGAGGAAGAGAGGAGAGCTGGGAAGAGGAGCGGAGGAGGAGTAAAAGAGAGAGAGTTGGAGGCAAGGGAAGAAGGGAACATCAGAAAAAAAAATCAGAAAGCAGGAGGGAGTTCCAGGGATCTGCAATTAAAAAAAGAGGCAGGGTCGGGTCACAGCAAGGGGACAAGTCAGAAGAAGATCTAGGTATGGTTCCACTTCTGGTCATTCCCTTGCTATGTGACCTTGGCAATTCCAGCTCTCTGGGCCTCAGTGAACCATGACAGTTGAAATAGATACTCCTCGGGTACACTCCCAAGAAGGAGGAGGGAAAGACAAAAATGGAAATAAAAAACACACACATGGGGGAAAGAGAGGGAAAGAACCAGAAAGAGAGACTTAGGAAGAAAGTAAGGAGGGGCCCTGGGAGCTAGCCGGAGGGAGAGCTGCAAGAGCCCTCTGGACTCCTGGAGGCAGGAGTGTGGGCGCCTGCTCCCCGCCCCTTACCCCAGAGCTTCAGAGTGTTCTTAAGCCCTTAATAGGTAAGGAGGGAAGATGGAAAGGCCTCGGCGCAGGGGGAATGACAGCCACACACCAACACTCAGAGGCTTGCCAAAGCCGCGCACACTAGGATCTGTGCTTCCTGCCCGGCCCTCAGATGTAGGTGTGCCAGCCACCTGGAGTGACTCACACCCTGGCGATGTGGGCACACATGCCAAGAGCGAGCCTGGGCACTCTGCCCGCCTGCACACCACAGGCCGAGAGGAAGATAAAACTCGGGCTCTCCAGGCGAGTAACAGGGGGCTACCCTCCCACACAGGGCTACCTTGCCCCGGAGCGCCCCTAGTGACCACCTCCTAGGCTCCAGGACCGAGGTGTCCTCTTCTCCCCACCTCCTCCCCCAAACCTCACTCGGGAAGCGGGAGAACCAGATGAGGCGTTACGCAAGGCCTGATGTTTACCTCCCGCAGGAGCCTCCACCCTCCCTATAAAGCCTGATGTGGTGGGGAGATTCGCGCACAGATCGAGACTCTGGTTGAGACCGAGGCAGCCCCAGGAGGGGGGCAGAGAAGCGGCAAAAATTCATGCGGGAGACGCAGAGAGGGGCACCGACTCCGCAAGCAGCAGGGCCGGCCGGCCATCTGTGCGCTCGAAGGCGGTCGCGGAGGTCGAGGAAGGGGCGGCGTTCAGACCCGGGCTCCCCATGGATGCGCCGGAGCTGGGCCCGGGGCTGGTGGAGCGTCTGGAGCAGCTGGCGACGTGTCCGCTGTGCAGCGGCCCCTTCGAGGACCCGGTGCTTCTGGCGTGTGAGCACAGCTTCTGCCGCGCGTGTCTGGCCGGCTGCTGGGGGACCCCGCCGGCGGCCGGCACGGAGGCTTCCCCCACCGCTTGCCCCTGCTGCGGCCTGCCGTGCCCCCGCCGCTGCCTGAGGTCGAATGTGCGGCTGGCGGTGGAGGTGCGGATCAGCCGCGGGCTGCGGGAGAAGCTGGCCGAGCCTGGGTCCCGCGCGGGGAGACGCCGAGGGGGCCGCATCCCCACCATGGGCTGCCTGGACCCGCACACAGAGGTGAGGCCGGGGTGCGCGTCACGGGTCCGCAGCTGTTGGTGGAAGGGGGAGCTTCATGGTCCCCGGGGTAGCCTGTGCAAGTTTAGGCAATGGAGTTCGGGGAGAAAAAGCAAAGGATGAGGGGTGGGTGACCCCGGGTCCTCAAGGTGAGAGGTGCCCCGAAGGACGATGAGGGGTTGACACTTGGTCCAGAGGGGAGGGGAATGATCGGGTGCCTGAGTCTAGAGAGAGGAGCTGGAGAGAAGAGTTTGGGGAGGCAGAGAAGGGCTGGGGTACTGGACAACACGCGAGAGCCTGGAGCCCCGCGAAGAGCGCGGGAACTGCGGGAGTTCGGGCCGGACAGCCGGGGCGCGCGGGAGCAGGACAGCTGGCAGAGGGGAGGGAGCCGGCGGGCGGGAGGGGGCCCTGCTGGGGCGAGGGCGAGCAGGGAGCCGAGGAGGACGGTGCGGGGTGAGAACTGGCGGGGAGAGTGGGAGCGGAGAAAAGGCTGGCGTGGCGGGGCGGGGAAGGGAAGGAGGACGGAGGACAGGAGTGGGCAGCAGATACAAACGCCCCTGCAGTGTCGTGGGGTCTGTCCCTGGACTCGGGCTCTAGCCGAGCTGAGCTGCGTGTGATTTGTTACTGTTATTCTCAGCTCATCCGAGGGCCCCAGGGAGGGGCGGCGACAGAATGAGGCGACGTCCGGAGAACAGCGTTTGGGGCCTCCGGCTCCTCTCCGCAGCCTTAGCACCACCTCCCCCGCGCCTCGGCTGGGCCCGACTCCTCGGCCGCCGACCAACTCCATTCCCTTGCCCGACCCCCAGGTGTCTTGGACGCCCGACTTGCTTCTCCCCAGCAGCCAAGCCGGGCTCGGGTCTTGCTTCCGCCCTTTGAAGTCTTCGCAGATCTAATTAGTCCAGGCGTAATTGGCTTACTTAAGGAAATTGTCTTTCCTCTCTCGCTCACCACCGTGCCAGCCCGCAGCGCTGGGCAGCGAAGTAGAGGGGTCAGGGATCCCACACCTGGAGGGGGGAACATCTAGCGCCCTCTCCTGGGTCCCATGGCACACTGCGGGTCTGTTGCGCTTCTTGGGACACATCCAAGCCCAGCTGCCTCCCTGGCCTGGGTAGAGACACAAAACAAAAGGCCCAATAAAAGCCACCAGGCTTTTATGGCAAGAGGGGAAGCAGCTTTATTGTAAGGCTTTTATATGCCAACTCTTAGCCCAAGGGCTCCGGGTGTGTGTTTGGTCTGTGTGATGGGGGTGGGGGGACAGACTTTGTCTGGGAGACACTCAGGAAGGTGATAAGGATGGGGTCACTGAAAGACACAGAGAATGGGGCTGAGGAGGCAGCAGAGGGAGGCAAGGAATGGGGCAAGAAACAGGCATGGATGAGGCTGGGGAAGGAGAATTGAGAACGCTTGGGGAATGGAGGGGGAGGACAGTGGGGGTGAAGTTAGGAGGATGAGGAAAAAGTGATGGAGAGAGAAGAAGGATGGGTCGGGAAAGGGGAAGGGACAGAATGAAAGGAGCACAGGGGATGTGGAAGTGAGATCACTCTGAGAGGGGGAAGGGATGTCACCAACTCAGATGGAGCTCACCTGAGGAGGTGGCTGGGGGAGGGTGCCCCACAGTAGGAAGCCCAGAGCTCATATCCATGTTTTTTCTGCCCAACCAGGATATAAGGAAGACATGGAGACGGTGAGTTCCACTTTTACTGTTCCTTTTCACTGCCAGCTGCCATAGCCATCACTTTCCCACTGGGGCCATGTCTTTGTCCCCAGTCACAGGCAGGTTTTCTGGGGTGTGGCCTCACCCCTTCGTCTTCCAGAGATGTGAGTGGGGTAGAGGTGGGGGCATTAGCTCAGAAGGTAGAGGATTATCTACTGATTTCCTGACCATTCCCCTCATCTTTCCAGATTTGACGTCCCAACACCCAAGTCATCTAACTCAGAGGATGATCTCCCTGAAGATTTCCCAGTGGTCAAGAACATGCTTCACAGACTGACCGGTAAGGAGGGCAGAGGGGAGGGAACTGAATCAGAGTCTGTGTTAGGCTTTCTCCCTGTTAGTTCTCAAAAATGATCAAGTCCTTTTTCATGTCTGTATTAGTTTCCTAAGAATGCTTGCTGTGTAACAAAGTACCACAAAGTAGGTGCTTCAGCAACAGACATCTATTATCTCGAAGTTCGGGAGGTAGAACTCCGAAATCAAGGTGTTAGCAGTGTGGTTCTTTCTGAGGGCCATGCGAGAATTTGTTCCATGCCTCTCTCCTAGCTTCTGGGTCTCACATGCCCCTTGGGTTACAGGTGGTCTGCATATTGTCTTCCTTTTGTATGCATTTGGCTCTGTCCAAACTTCTCTAAGTCAGTAATCATATTGGACTGGGCCTAAACTAATGACTTCATTTTAAATTGATTACCTCTGTAAAGATCCTATTTCCAAATAAGGTCACATTCTGAGGTATTGGGGGTCTTCAACATATCATTTTTTGTGGGGGGATATAACTCAACCTCTAACAACGTCTGTCCTCATTCCTTATATTCTAGCCATTTTCTCTCTTTTTCATACAAACAACAGACTCCTGGAGGTCAGTTGCCTCTCAGGAATCTCTGCCTCCATCACCTGTCATCAGTCCTCTCCAGAAGGGATTCGGGACCTCAGCATATGTCCCTGCCCCTTCCTTCCTTGCTCACTCCCCAAAAGAAAGATGCCCTCTACCCTTCTTTAAACTGCCTAGAGAAGAGGGTCTGCCCTCTTGGTCACCCACCATCCCACCATCCCACCCAATCCGGATTGCTTCTAGCACTCTTAATCCAGAACTCTTTCCTCAAAGCACCCCATACATATAGAGCCAATGGTTCTTTTTTCTTGTCTTTAGCTATCACCACCTATAGAAACAGGCCTGTCCACACCTACTTTCTGTGGGTGGGTGGGCTGGTTTCTCAGGATACCTTGGATTCCTCCCTCCGCCCCTCCCCTCTGTCACTTGGGGTTCCAGTAGCAGGTGTCAGTCATTCTCTTTAGATCTACCTTCCCCATCCTGCTGACCCAGCTCCCCCGCCCCACCCCAGATGCTGCAGATTGAGGTATCAGTCCTCACACCTCCCTAGAAGTTGGATCAGCCTCACACTTCCTCCCCCAATCCCACAAACCAGACCACCTTTCCTTTGGTCTCTGTGCTGTGCCCTCTGCCCTGAGCCAGTATGGTCCTTCCCAAGTCCAATTTTACAGAAGTGGCGCGTTGGCGCACAGTTTCCATGTTGCCCAGGCCTGCTCTTCATATGCCTGCCTCCTTTCTGGTCCCGCAGCCGCCTTTGAACTGCTCTGAGGTCACTCCCTAGCACTCTTAGTCTCGTGCGTGCCTTCGGCGGCCCATTCTCCACCCCGCCCTGCCTCTGATTCAGAAACCCCTCTCCTCTCACGCAGTCCTCTTCCTGTCTCCTTGTCTCCAGCTGACCTTACCCTGGACCCTGGCACCGCGCACCGCCACTTGCTCATCTCTGCCGACCGCCGCAGCGTCCAGGTGGCCCCACCGGGGACGCCCGCGCCCCCTGACGGCCCTACGCGCTTTGACCAGCTCCCGGCCGTGCTGGGCGCACAGGGCTTCGGAGCTGGCCGCCACTGCTGGGAGGTGGAGACCGCGGGCGCCGCCTCCTGCACAGACTCTTCTGGGGAGGATGAGGACGACGGGGAGAGCCGCTATGCCGTGGGCGCGGCAGGGGAGTCGGTGCAACGCAAGGGTCGCGTGAGGCTGTGCCCCGCGGGAGCCGTGTGGGCCGTGGAGGGCCGCGGCGGCCGTCTCTGGGCCCTCACGGCACCGGAGCCCACCCTGCTGGGCGGCGCCGGGCCCCCGCCGCGGCGCATTCGCGTGGACTTGGACTGGGAGCGGGGTCGCGTGGCCTTCTACGACGGCCGCTCGCTGGACCTGCTCTTCGCCTTCCAGGCGCCCGGGCCCCTGGGTGAGCGCATCTTCCCGCTGTTCTGCACCCGGGACCCCCGCGCCCCGCTGCGCATTGTGCCAGCGGAAGGCTGAGAGTTTCGTCCCCAGCCCCCATGCTAGTCGCCGGCCTCCCGAAGCGCCGAAGCTGCTTACTCTTGGGCTTGGAAGTCCCCACTCATTGCAGGGATCATGTCCGCACGCCCACTGCAGAAGTATTAATAAGCACCGCACACCAAACCATATTATCTCTTTTCTGTCTCATTATTTTTCCCCTAAATAATAACTCCAGGTTTCCACATCCATGCCCAAAGCCAAATCCCGTTCCTCCTCCCCTGCCCCCTAATCTTTTCTTTCCCACCGCTACCCCAGTACTTTCCACCTACTTTCTCCCGTTCTATACTATTCCAGGCCTGAACTGGGGAACAGGCCCTGCCCTACCAGTACTGGTAAACTGCACGTTTACTACACAGAGGCCCTGCTAGTCAAATATTTACCTCCCACTCTTGCCCGTACTAGCTCCAAAGAAGGACTCAGGGCCTTCTCCATGGTTCTAAGGCTTGGGCTTCCCTGTCCTGTCCACTCTGAAGTTTCTCCTCAAGAGAAACAAGAGACTCCTCCTAAAACAAGTGGCTTGACTCTAGCCTGGGCCCTATGGCCCTATAGGAAGCTTAATACCCCTTTCTGTGGGAGGCAGGGAGGGAAGCCAGTTCCACTCCACCCTCCTTCTGTGACTTTTTATGCTCATGACATTTTCCCATAAAACCGCCCCCTGCATGTACTCACAGAAAGGAACCAGTGGTGCTACCTCTCCTCTCCTCAACCTGGGAATGGCCTAGACATCCCCAAACTCATCTGAGTTTGGTACATAGTCTCATATCTTTCCCCATATGTATAAATGGGCCCATATTTAACACATTTCGTGATGTTGGGTTATTTATTTTGTGCATCTGTGGCAATAAATGAGACCTCAGTGGTGGTATGGATTTGACCGATCTCTGCAACTGTGCATGGGAAGAGGACCGGAAAACAATTACCAGATCCCAGTAAGGGGTGGGAGGGCTGACAGAGCTGAACATGTTGGCTGGCAGAGACATCAAAGGGTAGGAAGGAAGGGGTGAGAGTGCAGTGTAGGGAACACACCCCCATCCCTTTGCTCCCTCCCTTTTCCTTTCTCTCTTAGGGACCCAGGCCCCTGGGACTATGTTGGATCTGTCTGTGAAGCTGAAAGACCGAATTTGAGGAGATAGTTGGCTCTAAGTGACCTGTCTTAAGCCACTTTTGTCATAAATCCCAGATAACATGAGAAGGACAGGGAGAGAGGACATGACTATTTCTTGTTCCATTTTCCATTAGAGGTGAGAATGATAAAGACCTCTCTCTCCTAACTCCTCTTGAAGGCATGAGAGGGGTAGGCAGCAGGGGAAGAACTGGAAACCCTGGGTCTCCCGTAAGACCTCAGAGCCCACAGGCAAGGGCTAAGAATTAGGATTACATAAATACCTCAGTGGAAGAGCTCTAAACCAGGATGCACAAGCATAGCTGGGGCGAGATTGCCTGGAATCTGACTGGACCCTGGCAGTGAAAGCTGGGACTATTGAAAACCCAATTTAAGTGTTCGCTACTTAAGTTGAGAGTGCAGGGGCCAAGATAACTAGATCCCAGGACAGGCAGTTTGGCAGTGAGAACAAAAGGAAGAGACTGGGACCAAGATGGCTTGGATCCCCAGAGAGACGGGGGTGGGTATTGGCAGAAGAAATGAGGACTGGGGGAACCCAGGAGCCTGGGTTCTAGAATAGCAGCAAGTCAGAATTCCAGGATCTCTGTCCACATTCCTCTTCTTCTTCCCTCTATCAGGCAGAGGAGAGGGAAGGAGGGGGTGGGTGAAGGGATCAAATCATAGGTTTAGTCCCCAAGTAGCCACATGGATACATTCAGGGCCAGACAGACACAGGAATGGTGGGGGAGAGAGGAATTTAGTGCTGCATTGGCCCTGGAGGGGGCTGGGAGGGGTCAGGAGGCTGGGGAGGGGTGGTAGGGGTTGGTCCAAGGGTTGCACGACGCCGTCCTTTGCGGTGGCCCCGTACACAGTGTGTATGACCACAGCCCTCCTCTTCCTCCTCATCACTCTCTGTGGAGCTCTCACCAAAGGCCCGAGGTTTCTCATAAATACAGCAGCCTGGATTTGGAAGGAGGAGCTCAGTTAAAAAGGAGGAAGAGTAAGATGCACAGTCAGTTCCATTCCCCCTCAATCTTGGTGAAAATTCCTACTTTCACCATTGTCTCCTCCTACTTTCCAGGATCCAGCTTCCTCAGGCCCACCCCCTGGGACTCAGGCACCCAATTCCCTTGTTCATTTAGAGAGCCAAGAATCCAAAGCCCCACTTCTCCCACTTCTGACACCTCTTGCCGTCAGGCCTTGGCACACCGCAGTTCCAGCCCCTCCTTACCTCTTTCCCTCTAACCTTAACCTCCTTCCCCAGATGCCAGAGAACCACCAAGACAGTGACAAAAATATGAGCATCTTGGGGCTTCTGGGAGGCCAGTGGCTGTGAGAAGGTAGAAGATACGCAGAAGGGAGGCAGGACCACAGGGCTACTGTGGGGCAACAGTTACTCACATTTGGATGAGCGGCGCCCCATGTGTTCATTGTCCACAGTGTCACTCGTCCATTCCACCTTTTTCTCTGGCTTGCGTTTCCGAAGTTTGATGGTTAGGCTCCGGTTCTCCTAGAAGGTTAAGAGGGATGGGCATGCCAGTCCAGTCCCATCCTACTGACCTTTCCCGCTCCCTCCCGGGGGACCTTCTCTCTTCTCTTCCCCAGCTCAGTCAGTACATAGCACCAGAGGAGCTGAGTGCTGAGAAAAGATAAAATGGAACAGGTCTTTGACATCAGGAAATCCCTTGAGGAGAAAGTATCATTTCCTGTTCTTGATAGCCACCAGTATACAGAGAAGATACAATTCCTAACCTATGGAAAGTCCCAGCAAATCTTCAAAGGAAAATATAATCCTTGCTGTTTCTCCGTCTTCCTCCCCAAATCATCCTTGGTAGTATTAACACACGAAAATTATTTTTTCAGTCTCCAGTGCCTAATCTTTGATCTCCTTCTCTTTTTCCAGGTCTCTATTCTTTTTCCCATTAAGAAAAGACCTCCATTCTTATCTCTCTCATTTTCAAGTCCAGCCCTTCCCTACCTTTTAGCCATCCATTCTCTAGCATCCTGATATCTCTCGTAACAACCATTACTAAACTACTAATTACTAAACTCCCTGAATCGAGGTTATGAAGCCCAATGCAACCTTTTCCCTTTGAAAGCAACTTAACCTGTTTTTGCAAAATGCTACTTGTTTCTCCATTTACATCTCCCCTCTCTGATTTTTCAAAATATCCTCTTCATCTTCTATTTTTGTTTCCTTATTCCCTCCACTTCCTTTTACATTCATCCTTTCGACAAATATTTATTGGTAAGTATTAATATTTATTGATAAGCTGGCCTCCAACCATACCTTCTTACATGGCCTTGCATTTCCTCAACACTTTTCTTGCTCCTTAATCCCCAATTTCCCATTAGTTCATTGCATACACGCACCACCTCCCGAAGTAGCAACACCTATATCCTAACTGTAACTCCCTATTACATGTCCCTTGGCCAGTCGCCGGCACCATCACTGCCACTCTAACTTGCTCCAATACCTTGAGATTCTCCCAGCCCCAGATAGTCAACATCACACCTCCCATATTCCCAGGCCCAGCCGCCCCAGCAACTCTGCTAAGCCCTGTCCCCTCCCTCTCGGCATCTCCCAGACCCCTAAGCAGCACCGCCCCCCCACCCCCGCCTTTCTCACGGGCTCGGTTGTCACGGTAACCGTTGTCTCAGTGACGGTCTCACTCAGCCCGGCCCCTGCCTCGGCCATGGCTAAGGCTGAGGAGAGGGAGGAGGGGAGGAAGAGGATGAGACCTCCTTCCCTTTTCCTGTGTCTCTGAGGTCTAAGAGAAGAGGTATAGGATTCAGAGTAGTAGCCAGGATCCTTTGCCTTCTTTTTCCCCCTCCTTCTGGGCCTCTGCTTCCCCACCCCTGGGGATAACTTGTCCAACCCCACTTCCGGCTCTCCGCTTCCGGGTGTGACGCATTCTGCGGTCCCCTTTTCCCTTCTCCCGGCACCAAATGCGTCAAAGCGCAGGCGTCGCCGGATTAGTTCCGCCGTAATATGACAACGCGCAGGCGCTGCAAGAAAGAAAGTCAAATTTAGCGGAAGAGGCGTCAGTGCGGCTGTGGGGGCGGAGGGAGGGCCAGGGGCAGCGGGCGCGCGCACGGCGGAGAGGCCGCAGGAGGGGTGCGCGGAAGGGTAGTGCCCCGCCGGCGCTGCTTGCTGGTGCGGGGAAGGTGCGGCGTGTGCATCGAGTTGAGAAGTCCAATGGCTGAGTCCATCTCCCCTCTCTGGGCGGTGGAAGGGCGCAGGAAACTTAAGGGGCAATAGTAATGACCCTACCTGGGCTATTGTCGTTTCTTTATCGTTTGGTTTGGTTTCCTTGGAGAGAAACGGGACCTGGGAGCGGTTGGAAATAAGATTAAGATGCAAGCGATCGGGGTTCTGGTCTTCACCATGTGCTTGTAGGTGTTTGAGCACTTACTGCACGTTCAGCTTGGGTTTTTCCAATCACTGTGCGAGGCCTTGAACATGGAGGCACTTAAGACACTCAGACCCTGCCGTTTAGCTCCCAGTCTAATGGGAAAGACGGGCATGCTCAGAACTAACAAAAGTGTAAGACACTGGGGGCATAAACATGGAACTAAGTCTGATCTGTGAAACTGAATTTAGTTACACTACCAACGTACTCTCTCTGGGGTGATGAGTAGGACTAAAGCAGAGAAATGGTCATAAATTACAAAATAGAACATTACGTGAAAGTATGTGCACGTTTCTTAGAAGACAAAAGAAAGCGGGAAAACAAGAACCAGAAAGGCAGATAAATGTCTTTTTTAGGGTAGAGAACAGCTTACAGTCGTAGGTGTGTGCACTGAAAGAAATGGAGTGTTGTACTGCTGGGATCCAAGGGGAGTGCCAGATAAGGCTTGGCAGGTAGGCGGTAGTTGTATGGAAAGCCCTAGGATACTTTGCTAAGAAGTTTGGACTTGATCCAGTCAGTGTTATGGGCCAGAGAAAGGCTTAAAGAGGATAGAAACATGAACAGATTCGTTTCAGATTTCAGGAGTGGGTCAGGAAAGTCAACTGCTAGAACAGTTTAAATGTAAAGTGGGGAAGACAGCTCTGCTCATTCTTCAAGTTGCTGTGAGGGTCAAACAAGATACTGTAAGCTTGAGAGCCCTGAATATATAAAAGACCACACAATTACAAGATAATCATTTTTACTCTAACCCCCGACCACCATTTAAGCCAAGGAATGCAGGAATACTAATTTCCAGAACCAAAATTTGAATATTTTATATTGTGCCTGGACTATGTATTTGTTTCCCTTGAAAAGTTTTTGGTTCAAACTGAGAGAAGCAAGATACAATTCAGCAGGTACAGTGTAGTTCATTTAAAAAACCAAATATAGGCCAAGACTGTGGCTTATGCTTGTAATCACAGCATTTTGGGAGGTTGAGGTCGGAGGATTGCTTGAGGCCAGGAGTTCGAGACCAGCCTGGGCAATGTAGCAAGACCCTGTCTCTAAAAAAAATTAAAAAAATTAGATACATGTAGTGACACTCGCCTGTAATCCCAGCTACTTGGGAGGCTGGGACAGGAGGATCGCTTGAGCCCAGGAGCTTGAGTTGAGGTTGCAGTGAGCTATGATGTCACCACTGCACTACAGCCCAGGTGACAGAGACCTTGTCTCAAAAAAACTCAACCAAAATATTTATACACACGTACAAATATAGCCACACATACCTACACAAGCACAAATATACAGTATAATTTGGTTGTCTCAATGGAGTGGTATTCCTTGTGACTTTTACTTTTTTATTTCTACCCTTGTATATGAGAATCTATTACAATCATTACAATGAACCCTTGAACGACACAGGGGTTAGGGGTGCTGACCCCCTGGCACAATCAAAAATCCATGTATAAGTTTGGACTCCCCTAAAACTTAACTACTAATAGCCTACTATTGACCAGAAGCTTTACCAATAACATAACTAGTTGATTAACATGTATTTTGTATATTATGCATTGTATACTGTATTCTTACAATAAAGTGAGCTAGAGAAAAGACAATGTTATTAAGAAAATTATAAGGAAAAAAATATATTTACTATTCATTAAGTGGAAGTAGATCATCATAAAGGTCTTTATTCTCACTGTCTTCAAGTTAAGTAGGCTCAGGAGGAGGAAGAGGATGGGTTGGTCTTGCTATCTTATGGGTGGCAGAGGTAGAAGAGTTCAAATCCGTGTTGTTCAAGGATCAACTGTATATTATATTCATCTCAAAAGTCATAAGTATCCCTATAGTAAGTATACACTGATATCCGTTAGTATCCGATTTTTTGTTGTCCAAATTTATAGGCCAAATAGATCTGGTTAAAACTTCTGTTGAATCTCTCACTATCTGTATTCCTACTTTTCATTTCCCTAAAGTCAGAAACCAAACAGATTTAGATAGTGTGGGAATACTTATAAATGCTTTTTTATATTAGCCTTATTTCTGGCTCCCTTTTTTTGTTCTTTTTTCCCCTCAGTTTTCTTTTTCATACAGATATATCTGTAAGCTCATTTAAATTCCTTTTGGAACAAGACAGATTATAAATAACACATATGTCAGGGTCTTATAGAAAAATACAACTTTAATAAGGAAACTCAACTAGGGGTATCTTACTCCAGGGACAATGGTAATCCCCATATGATGATTTGATTCTCCTCTGGGAGCAACACATTGCAACTAGAAGAGGTGGACAAGGCATTTCTTGTCCAAGAACTCAGTATCCTTCACCTTCCAAGGAAGAAGAGGGACGGACTGTGGAATTGCCCAGGAAAAAGATCAAGAATCTTCCTTCTCCTGGAACCTATGAGGAAAGAAAGGACTTGTTATAGTTAACCAAAAGAAGAGTTTCTAGCAGCACAACATGAGATACTCAATTAAATAATCAAGGAAGGACTTTTATTTATGAGACTGTGGAAGACTAGCTCCCCTAAACGATTCTCCAACTCAACTTTAAGACAACTAAAAATGTTGGGATTAAAAACATATCTAATAAATTATAACCTTGAATTTCTTAGGACACAAAAAGCACTAGTCATTAAAGAGGAAAAAAAAGGATAAACTAGACCTCATAAGAATTAAAAACTCACCTAAAAAAAAATTAAAATAAATAGACAAGCCACAGACTAAGGAAAAAAGTATTCTTAAAATATGTATCTGGACTGGGCACAGTGGATCATGTCTATAATCCCAGCACTTTGGGAGGCAGGAGGATTGCTTGAGGCCAGGAGTTAAAGGCTGCAGTGAGCTATGATCTCGCCACTGCATTTCAACTTGGGTGATAGAGCGAGACTCTGTCTCTGAAAATAAATAAGAAAAGAAAAGAAAAAAAAAAAAGAAAGAAATAAGGAAAGAATAAAATAAAAAAGAAATATATATTTGAGTATGAATATTTTTAATCCATTGATGAGACGGCAAGAAAGTAAAGGCAACCTTCACACTGATTAAAAGTGACGTAAGGCCGGGCGTGGTGGCTCACGCCTGTAATCCTAGCACTCTGGGAGGCCGAGGCGGGCGGATTGCTTGAGCTCAGGAGTTCGAAACCAGCCTGAGCAAGAGCGAGACCCCGTCTCTACTAAAAATAGAAAGAAATTAATAGGACAACTAAAACTATATAGAAAAAAAAAAATTAGCCGGGCATGGTGATGCATGCCTGTAGTCCCAGCTACTCGGGAGGCTGAGACAGAAGGATTGCTTGAGCCCAGGACTTTGAGGTTGCTGTGAGCTAGGCTGATGCCACGGCACTCTAGCCCGGGCAAAAGAGTGAGACTCTGTCTCAAAAAAAAAAGTGATGTAAAACCGGAAATCTAGACAGTTAAAACTGAAACTCCTGCTAGGATGGTGACCGTAATATTGTTTTGAAAGCCATAGGCAGCATAAGAAACCAGAGAAAAAACCTGTAATGTCTGATAGGAGATCCCCTGCATAAATTCGGGAACCTCGAAGGGCTACTCTTATGTGTAAAAGAGAATAACAACAAAAAAAGTCAATTCTGTAGAAGGAGAATTTGTCTCAATAGAGAGAAAAACCTCCCCTGAGAATTTTTAACCATAGTCTGGCCCTTACATGGATTTGCAGCTGAAAGTCATACTATGTGTCTGCTCCAAAAAAACCTGAAGCCAAGAATTTATTTAAAGTAATTCCAGCTCGATAGTGCCTCAAGGCATCTGAAAAAAAAAAAACAAAAACCACAAATGCCAGGAATACAGCATTCACTCCAGGCCCCAAAGAGTTCCCGTAGTTCGAGTTTTAAAAAACCCTCACTTACAGTCAAAAATCACAATACAAAGAGAAAAAGCACCAGGAGAGAATCAGCAGAAATAAAAGACAGCAGGGAGTCTACTTGCTCAAGGTTTCTTGGTTGTGGCTCCGGGTAAAAAAAAAAATATTAAAAAAAAAAAAAAAGGACAGCAGCATCAGACATACAAGATCTGTGGATATCAGAATTATAAGGCATAGAATAACCATATTTAATATTTTTAATATTCATTTAAAGAATAAAAGGAATACTTTTCCTTTAAATTGAAGAACTGAGAATTATTAAAAATGATTGAAATTTGAAAAATAATTAGGTAGAACTCAAAATAATAATTGAAACTGAAGACAGAATTAGTGATCTGGAAGACAGACCTGAATAAATTTCCCAGAAGGCAGCAAAAGAGAAAATAAGTGGAAAATATGAAAGACAAGGTGAGAGAATTGGATGATAGGAGAGAAGTTCTAATAACTAATTAGAGCTCCAGAATGTGGGAAATGAGACCATGGAGGAAAGGCAATATTAAATGAGATAATGGCTGATAATTTTCCAAGGTTGAGCGAAAAAAAAGTCTATTCTCGCTTTCAGAAAGTCCAATAAATCCCAAACAGAATACAAATAAAAGAAAGGCACATTTTGATATACTGTAGTGGAACTGACAACACCACACACTAAAGAGGTGGTCATAAAACCATCCAGTGTGCCAATGGTCTCTAAATCATGCATGACTAATTCTCACCAAAGTAAAGCTACCTTGACTGCAGCTTGAAGACTCTAGCATAAAATGCTGACCACTAAGCAATCCCTCCCTTCTCTGTTTTTTAATTTCCTTTTAAATATCTTAAAAGGTTTACTTCACTGGCTGTAAGAAGGGTTAAAAAAAGGTGTCATTTTTAAAAATAAAAAACGACCATAAAATCTCCCTATTACCAGAACTGCACTGAAATGAGGGATAGGATGAAAGGAATCAACTGTCTAGTACGAAAAATAAGTCACTGGGTTTGCTTAGTTAGCAAATGGACTGAGACAGGGCAGAGGGAGGGGAAAGGATACCCACTTGCAGTTGGTACAGGTGTAGAAGACGGTCTGCCCTTCATCAGCTGAACGCATCTGCCTGGTGTGGTATGCCATCCCCTCATGACCACATCGAGAGCAGCGCCTGTCAACCTGGGGAGAAGCTGGTGGGTTAGGGAGGCCTGGTCATATCCCGCTACTTCTCACAGCAACCAGCCTATCATACTTCCTCAGATATTGATGTTTCACACTTCTCTTCTTGGAATGGGGAAAAAACCTCTCCAGATCTCTGCAATCACTCCTCCATTTCTTTCTACCCACCTTTCAGAGGCAGTCCTTGATCTCATTAACGTACCACAGGTCCCTGGAACTCAGGCCCTTCCTCCACCGACATAGGCATGGCTGTCCCCAGTTTGTGGAACACTGCTGAAGTCTTCACAACTTTCCCCTCGAAGTCTGCGCAGGCAAGTAAGACTCCTTGGAGACAGCGTAGGGAGCCGACGCCCGAAATCCCCTCTCTCCCTCCGGATTAGGCCAGGAGGCTCTACTCCCTTCCCTTCGGTTTCGTCCCTAGACCAAATATACGAGTGCCTGACCTCCTGCTCCAGGCTCCTGCTCCAGGCCCCTCCTCCCCAAGTCCAACCGATCTTGAGGTCCCCCAGCCTCCGACCCTGGGCCCTCCGCCAGGACCACGGCGTACGAGCCCCTCACCCCGAACGTTGATGGAGAAGCCGCAGCGAGTACAGGTGACCGCATCCTGAGCCCCGGGTAGAGGCAGGACCGAGCCGCAGTCTGGACAGAAATCCAAGTCCGACTGAAAGCTGGAGCAGGTGCTGGCGAGGTCCATGACCGACATGCAGCAGAGAGCTAGAAAGGGAATGAGAAGTTCATTAACAAAAGAGAGAGGAGTCCCGCCTCCCCACTCAGGGGTCACACTCTGTCCCAGAACCTAGGCGTAAATAACCCGAGCCCTCCTCCTACACACGCCTCCTGCCTCTGCGACCGAAGAGCCGAAACGTCCGGAATTCCCAGCCAGCGTCCTAACCGATTGGGAACCCAGGGGCCGGCGAGCTGGGCGAGCCAATTCCGCGGGCTAGAGCGCCGGCTCTGCGCAGGCGACGGGGCAGCGAGAGCTTGGCGGGCTAGAGCGTCGACGCATTCGGGCTCGCGCGTGGCTAAGACGTCATAATTAATCGCGAGCCTCATCTACAGAGCGTTTGCTGTGGAGCCGCACCTCCGAAGGGAGATTGCGGCGCTACCCTGACCTTGTGACGTCGAGTAAGAAAACCGGTAATCAGTGCTGTGCTTCTGGCTAATTTTCCTACCAGCACCCAATCCCGGTATATTTATTTTCTTTGTCTCACATGCTACAGAGACCCAGTTGCAGGGGAGTGGGGGAGTCCTCCTGAAAACTGTACTAACCTTACCGAATACTGATTTCTTTGGATTAGAGCACCACAACTCCCACCGTTCCTGAGCCGGTTTTTCCCTTTTGCGGCTGTGTAGTGGTTAAAAACAAAAGCTAAACATTCTGCGATTTAGAGTTCTAGTGACCCTTAGGGTCCGCTGGCCGAGCGTGAGCTCTCTGCAGCGCCCCACCGGCCTTTTGTGCTTTGAGGCAGTTCGGGGCACTTGGAAGGAGTGAGTGGGCTTCTTCTTCTTCTTCTTTTTTTTTTTTTTGTGAGACAGTCTTACTCGGTTGCTCAGACTAGAGTGCCGTGGCGTCATCATAGCTCACTGCACCCTCAAATTCCTGGGCTCAAGCGATCTTCCTGTTTCAGCCTCCCGAGTAGCTAGAGCTACAGGGGCACATCACCACGCCTGGCTAATTTTTTCTGTTTTTTCGTAGAGATGGGGTCTCGCTCTTGCTCAGGCTGGTCTCGAACTCCTGAGCGCAAGCGATCCTCCTGCCTCGGCCTCCCAGAGTGCTAGGATTACAGGCCTGAGCCACCGCGTCCAGCCCTGGGAGTGGGCTTCTTAAGGGACAGAAAGTGGGGAGGGTGAAGTCCGGAGGAATGCTTAGTCCCACAGGAGAGGAAACAGGGATGACACTTGGGAAGGGACCCAGGACTTTGGAGGTAGTGGAACAGAGGAGCTTGGGGCTCCCCACTCCTTCAGCTTCTGCCATATGAGGGATGCTCACAGTTGTCAAGGGAACTCCTTAGGTAGGACTTCATAAGACTTAGGTCGTTTGAATTTCAGTTGCAGACCGCCTGCCACCTCTTTTCTGCCTCCTGTCTGTCCACTCTAAATCATCGTGGTCATCCATTAACTGAACGGTTGACATTTCCCTAATCTTTTATAAAACATGAAGATAAATATCTTTAGAAAATCTTGCTATTTTCATTCATCTGTGACCTACAATCTAAGTAGAAACTTGTGCTGAAGGGGGAGCTTCTAGTTGAGTTTTCTCCCAGCCTTCTCAGCACCACCTACCCTGATAGCCGCCATCATTTTCTTCTCTGAAGGACACAAGCTGTGGTCTTTCAAATGGAGAGAACACCATAGTGAAGGGGTAAAAACTCTCAGCAAGCTGTGGAAGAGTGACAAACTCCATCATTTTGCATAATTGTGATGTTGCATGTCATTTTGACTCTTACAAAGGGAGATTGTTGCTGATAATGGTAGGCTGTTTTTATTCTCACTTATTTGTGTCTTTCTTCTTTGAAAACAGAAATTGAAATTAGCCCTCCACCCTCCCTGGTTTTGATAAACATTTAGCGAACATCCATCATGAGTTGAATGACTATGCAGTAAAGGAACAAAGCATTAAAAGGCGTGGATCCTTCCCAACACAAGTTCACAATCTATTCAATAAAGTATTTATTGAACACATACGCTAGCTGAGACTGGGACAAAGTTGAGATCTGTGTTCCCTGACCTCAAGGAACACAAATAATAATTAGAGTACAATAAAAGTACACTAGTAGGTAACAAAATGTGAGAGCCAAGGACATGCATATAAAACAAATATATCTATAAACTTCAAGGAAGACTGGTAAATGCTTTAATAAAACGATACAATGCTATGGCAAATATAAGAAAAAGATGCTCAGATATGTGGTAAGGATCATCAATCAAAAAATCATTAATTTTGAGAACTTAGGATCAGACTCTAAGTACTGTGCTAGATGCTATGTACAGAGAAATAGAAGTAAGATGGTCATAATTTTAAAATCTCAAAATAGGAATATAAGGCAAATCAGAATATACCTAAGAGGTCAAATATGGAATATTTGATATCAGGTAGTCTCTGATAATATAGAGACATCATTAAATTTTAGATATAAATTACAGTTCCTACCTTTTAGGAGCCTGTTTCAGCATTAAATGTTAAAAGTGATACATGAATACAGATATCACAATGTAAACCATGATTAATTTTCAAATGAGTTGTAGAATTAAAAAATGTAACGTGTTGAAGGCAAAATGATTGTAATGGAGTAGACCAGAAAGACTTCATAGACAGGGTCTTGACTTGTGAAGGATAGACAGCTACCATTTATTGAGAATTTACCAAGTTCTTTATATCTAATTCGTACTTGTTCTTTATAACCCTGAAAGGCAGATTTTTGTCTTATATCTCCATTTTATAGATGAGGAAACTGACATAGGGAGAAGTTATTTGCCCTGAGTCACACACCTAGAAAGTGGTAGAATTAGGATTCAAATCTAGCTTTGGCAGGCTCCAATGACCATGTTTTTAACCATAAATGGTATAAAAGGCTCAGAGATGAAATGCCAGGCATGCTCAGTGGCTTAAATATGACCTCATAGTAAACTCAGATTAGACCAGAGACGACACATAAAAGTTGGTAGTCTTTGTGTTGCCATCAGCCTGCCCTATAAATAAACCCAGAGTAACTAAAAATTCCCATCCTGAAGGGTTCAGCAGGGAATAGTCTCCTGATGTGTTTAGGGTGAAGGATGGTTGGCAGTATAAGGCAGGTGAGCAGAGGGTTGGGCAATCAAATGAGAACAGAATTTCATAACAAAAGATTAGAAGGCAGAGATGCTGTATGTGCTGATAGAGGCAGAGAGGGCTCGGATCAAGCAACTGCAGAAAGAGGATGAACTGATAAAACGGAAGATGAGAATTATCTCCAAAGACAGAGGAGACTCAAGGACTGAGGGATCTAACATACATGTACTCAGGCAACACCTCACCAAGGAGCCTGTCTCTTCCTATTCACAACCCTGGATACAAGATTCAGAATGGTTCATGCTGAGTCCACAGGAGAAGTATGCTTGTAGTTCATATGAAAGGAAAGATCCTCTTTTTATTAAAAGAACATTCATTATTCTCCACCACAGGAATGCAGTGGTTTCCTGTGAGGAAAATGGTCCTGTTGTAGTCCTGCCCATTAGCAGATTTTTTTTCTTTGTAAGGGAAATACCCTTGGTCTTAGCCAAAACAATTGTGTTCCTTTACTCAGACAATATGTGAGCAGATGTGTTCTGACACCTCCCATGTTCTAATCTACATTTGTTTTTTTATCTTCCAGATTGGCCTGGGCTAAATCATCTAAAGATCCTCGGATTGCTGCAGGTCAGCAGTCCCCACTGGAGAAAAAGATCTTGGTAAATAATTATCTTCATATCATACAGTTTGGGACTACTCGGAGAACGAATCTTAGATTAAAATCCTTCTATGTAAGTGACATCTTCAGTAGTATGTCTACACTGGCAAATGTTTACCAGTTATGGCCATAGTTACAAAACAAAGTATCATTTTGAAAACTCCCAACATTATATATTTTTAAAACTAGTTGTTGATTTGTGGTGGTGAGTACTTCATACTTTTAGAGGTCACAGGCTCACCTGGGAGTGATGGAGGTAAAATCACAATTATTACATTAAAGTAAGTAAAAGAGCATATAGCTTTTCTTGGTGTCAATAGGAAGGTAGGGTTCTGTTTAAAATGTGTTCAAAGGAAAAAGATGATCACATTATAACGTTCTGAACCTCACTTTGACAGAATCTAGGTGGCGTGCATACAACAGCAGCAAGACAGTTGATAACTCAGAGATACCAAGAGGAGTATGAAACACTCTGTAGGGAGCAAGCCCTTTCTCTTGACTACTGGCTTGCCAAAGCAGTCTTATTATATTAAAAGAATAGTGGAAATGATGAAAGAAGAAGAGACAGCTAATAAAATCAAGAAGAAAATGGAGGGGAAAACAACCCAAAGCATAGAAGGACTAAAACGGTACTATTTGGTACGTGAGAGAGAGAAGAAACACACGGAGAGGCACATATATCGAACAGGACAAGCCAGAGAACTTAAGAACAAAACATTTAAACAAGTACTACGACCTCTCAGTGAAACATCATTACCAAAAATTGTGCCAGAAGAGGACGGCATCCACAATGCACAGAGAAGAAAACAGGCAAATGAGAGGGAACAGATGCAAATTAAAGATCATCAGGAACGCATGATTCGAGGGAGAGAACTTACAGAGCAAAGACTCAAAGAAAGAATCTTGAGAAAAAGCCAGAGTCAGCTGCCTACACGTGAGAAGCGTGAAAGAGTAAAGAAAGGGATAAAAGAGTTTGAAAGAGTTACTGCATATCCACTTTTCCAGCCACTCAGTACAAGTCGGATTAAAGTGAATATTCTTATGGAAAAGTCTCAGAATGGAGAGGAAACAGATGCAATTATAAAACCATACCAGAGAAGATTCTTGGCTGTGCCACCCTTTTTGAGAAGTCAGATAGGAAAAATAAAAGATTAGCAAAGTTTCAGTGCTTTTCTGATAAAATCATATCGCTTAAGTGAACCTTCTTTTAAAAATGCTAGTTCCCTTATTTCCCCAGGGTTCAGTGAATATTCCCATTTGTATCAAATACAGTTGTATAAGATAGTTTTGGACTTGAAAAGTAACTTTTCTGTTTTTAGTTGCCTTGCATTTGTTCAAGTTGCTTATCCTCTCTGATGTTCAGTTTCCTCATCTGTAAAGTGAGAATAATAAAAATTCATAGCATTCATGGAAGGATTATGATTTTTGTGAAGCATTATTATGTATTAGTTGTTTCATAAATATTAGTTTCCCCACTTGAGAAGACCTGGGTTGGGCAGTGGTAAGTAAGGAATTGTTCTAATCTGCCTCTCATTTCTCCCTGCTCCCAACCCACCAAGGTTATTTCCATGAGATTGCTATAGTTCAGTATGTATCTGGCCTTTAATTTCTTGTTCATGCCTTCATTAAAGAACTACTAACCAGGCCCTAAAAGTAGAATTTGCACCATACAATTTATCTGTAGGAGAAAGTTAATTTTGAGAACCTCTCATGTGCTAGGCATTGTGTTAGTTACTGAGAGTGAATAAAGAGATGTCTCTGCCCTTGAGTAGTTTACAGCTAATGGCATAGCTCACTCTATAAACAGGTATATGGCAAAGGTTATGATAGAGGGGACAGGGTGCTGTACAAAGGAATGATTCTAACCTGGTCTAGGTGAGCAGGGTGAAAAGGAGGAAGAAGGAGGTCAGAGAGGAAGGGTAGTAGTCTGTCATGTTTCTTCCAGCTCTCTTTATCGCTTTCTGTCACACACTTAAGCAAGACCCTTCTCAGTGTTTGGATCCACTTGGGTAATCAAACTCAGCCTCTTTCAGATTCATGCCTCCAATGCTCATTTATAAATCAGAAAGAAAATTTATGAATTTAATGAGAATTTTAATTGCCAAGCAGAATGAAATTTATTATTTTCCAGTCAGTTCATTTTCTTCCCAAATACCAGAAAGCTGGGAAAGTAGAGATTCAGAGTTGGTGAGCAGAGAAACAGAGAAGTGGAAATTGGATATCCTAAGGAATATTATGCTTAAATTGTGACAATCCTGATGCTCACCCTTCTTCCTATCAGAACATCCTTTACCCTGGATATTGCTAGGTCAGTGCTGTTGAATACAACTTTCAGCTATGATAGAAATGTTCTATATCTGTGCTCTTCAATACAGTAGCCACTTGCTACATGTGGCCATTGAGGCATTTAAAATGTGATTAGTGAAGCTGAGGAATGGAATTCTAAATTTATTTTAATTAATTTAAATTGCCGCATGTGGCATGTGACTGCCCTATTATACAACGCAGCACTGGATAAACATAACTCCTGTTATGAATCTATGTCTAGATTCCAATCCTACCATCAGCGTTCTGTCTTTGACAGTGTTGCTGCTATGATAGATCACTGCTTGTCTTACATTAGTATCTGTTTAGTTTCCTTTATATTTTAGAAGCCCCCCCCCAAGGCCTTAAAGAGATTAAAGAGGCAATGTAGACAAATTTGTGGAAATGAGATGGCTGAATTTGCTTCAGTTGGGTTTAGGAACTGGCCCTCTCTTTGCTAGTTCTGGAATTTAGCCAGGATGCGCACCAAAATCTCATTCCTATGCACCTTACTTGCCTCATACAAACTTCTGTTCTCTGGTCTTCTATGACTGTGTCTCAGCTTTAAGTTCTGTATCTTGCATAGAAATGGATCATCAGAAAGCAACAGGAAGAAGACTTGGAAATCCAAATCAAAAGAGTAATATCAAACCCTTTGAGTTGAGTGGGTCTGAAAAGTAACCTAATACATAACCTATTAGTAATTCTTTACCATGAAGATTTTCAATGCTAGACACATAGATTGCTGAGTTCAACTGCCCTCTTTCTCCTACAAATCTAGTCTAAAATAACCGATGATCTTTGAGCAATTTCACACCTACCATGGCTAAGAATAGAAATCTGTGGTTAAAGAGTTTGTCTAAACCTGAACCCATCATCTCCGTCTCACAAATTATATTCACCTTTTCATTTCCTTGTACTGGGTGTGAATGATACTCCCAAGCATCCTTGCTCAAATCCTGAGTCACACTTAATGCCTTTTTTGGTCCAATTTCCTTTTTTATTTTCAATTGGAAATACACAACTGAAAATGTTACATATGTACAGTTGGAAGAATAGTAATAAATGTCCAGCGCCCTTTGCTCAGGCTGAGAAATGGAATGTTACCAAACCTTAGGAGCCCCTGTATGCTCTCCCCATTCATATCCCTGTCCCTTGCTCCTAGAGGCAACTACTGTCCCGAATTTTGTGTAATTGTCATCTAGCTTTTATAGATTTTACCAACTAGGTAGATATCCCTAAGTGATATAATTTTTTTATAGCTGCTTGTTTATAGTCTTTATGTAAGTGGAATTATACTATATATGACTTACTTTAGCTCATTTTTATTTTTGGATTCATCTATGTTGATGTGTGGCCCTGTAGTTCATTTCCATGACATGAATATGCCACAACTTACTTATATATTCTACTGTTGATGTCTTCGGGGTTATTTCCAGTTTTTGTCCTATTTTCTTTTATACACGATACTTCTGTAAACATTCTTTTAACATGTTCTGGTGCCTGTGTGCACGAGCTTCTCCAAGACACATAAGTTGTGGCATCTTCCTATGAGAGGGCCTGATCCTGGAGCTTGATAGATTTCTATTCCATTTTGGTTTTACACTTGTCAGTCTGTTCCGTGGAGTCAGGCACATATTAGACTTAAATATTTGTTGAAAGAAAGAAGGACATTTGTTAATTGCCAGAAAAAGATCTGTGTCCTTTAGCCAGGACTAAAATACAAAAACACTGGTAACATACCATTTTACCTCCTTACATCCTGTCCATGCCCAATCATAGCCAGCCTTTGTTCTTATATTTCAGTTGAGAGCCTAAAATGTTTGTTTACTTATCCTAATTGATTTTTAATATTCTTCCAATAAATTCAAGATTTGTTTCTCTCTCTATCCCCTTTTCCAGAGTTTTCTGTCCACCGCTTTCTAGATAAGGTCACGCACATGTCCTCTCCCCAAGGCAGCTGGCAGCATGATAAAGTTTCATTAAATCCTGAACAAAGGGTTCCCAGAGAAGGAGACAGAGTCTCCTTTTAGTACCAGGTTGCTGGAATACCTAGAGGGCCAAGGGCTGTGTGACAGTTCCTTCTCGTCTGCTGGAGAAAAGTCCAGGTTCTTAGCCATTAAGTACCTGGTGACTTAGCCTTGATAAAGTACTGAATTCAAAGTGGCAGAGTTCGGACCCAAAACAAATCTCCCAATTCCAAACTCAGATTTATCTGATTTTTGAAATGAAATAAAAATGCTAAGGTGCTTTATAGCCATAAAATACCATATAATATCATGAATTGTTATTGTCCTTCTATTGGTTTTCTTCATCTCCTATCAGATATATGGTTTGCAAATATTTTCTCCAATATTTCTGTGGGTTGTCTCTTCATTCTGTTGATTGTTTCCTTGGTTGTACAGAAGCCTTTCAGTTTGATGCAGTCTCATTTGTCTGTTTTTGCCTTTGTTGCATGTGCTTTTGGGCTCATATCCAAAAAAATCATCGCCCAGTTCAATGTCAAGAAGCTATTTCCCTGTGCTTTCTTCCAGTAGTTTTACAGTTTCAGGCCTTACATCTAACTCCTTAACCCATTTTGAGTTGATTTTTGTATATAGTGTGAGATAAAGGTCCAATTTCATTCTTCTGCATGTGGATATTCAGTTTTCCCAATATGATTTATTGAAAAGACTGTCTTTTCCCCATTTTTGGTTCAGCTGTCAACAGGAGGATATACCAGCTTGGTCAGCCTGGGGTTGCTACTAGGGGAAAGAAAGAAGTATGCTGGCCAGGGATTTCCAAAACAGGGCTAGATATAGGTCTCCCCACTCATTTCACCCTGATTACATTTCACTCATTTCACCCCACTCATTATCCCCTGATTTTGGGGATAGCAGCATTCAGTGACCAAAGTGCCTTACTAAGGTGCATGAGCCAGGAGGAGGTGAAGGAGAAAGAGCAAGAAATCTTTTTGGTTGACTATTGAGAGAGCTGTTTCAGCTCCTGAATGGTGGAGAGCAGCATGGAAGGCCCATTGCCTTGACTGTCAGCTCACTGTTGGGTAGCTTTGCAACAAAAGATACACTATTGTCAGACTAAATGGCCTAGAAAGCTGAAAACATGACCTAGATTAGTATCCAAGGCCACATTTAGTATAGGCTACATTTTGGCCCATGTTTCAGCCAACCAACCAACCAAACTGTTGCAGGCCCTTCCTTCTAACTCTTTAAGCTGCAAGATTAAATGAACCCATATTAATAAATTTGGCTTGATTCAACTTTATGTTTCTTCCATCATTATCCCACATTCTTAATATCCATTCCCACACATATTTCCTAGAATTTTGTATCAATTAGAAAGATCATCTAGTTCTTTTGGAGTGTAAGATACTTTCTAATGGGTCACACTTTATATCTCACCTTTAGGGGCCTGCCGGGACTTGAGTCCAGTTATAGGTCTACAAGGAAAAGGGGATCCTGGCGGTGGGTCTGAGGGGAACCAGCAGTATCTTTTAAGGCATTTACCTCAGGGGAGGCCAATACAGTTTCCTCAAGCAAACTAGGGCTAATCTCATCAGACCTGGAATGGTTGCGTCTACTGGCAAGAAGACTCATAAGAATGAAGGGGCTCAGTGTCTGCAGTTTCATCACAGTCTGCCCATAGGGCCCCATTTCAGTTTTCAGGATTGCTTTCCTTTTCAACCAATGCCCCCACTTCAATAGTAGACAACCTGCAAGGTTGGAAATTCAATTTGCATTGTAATCACCCACTTGCAGGATGAGGCTCTTTGGTTTTCAGCACTCTCATCTGCCGCTGTAGGAGACAGGGATTTCTTTCCAGTCAGAAACAGAAACTTTCAGGCCATTTATGTGGTGCTCGAGCAGTTTATCTGAATCTCTATGCTTTTCC